TGTGTGTGTGTGTGTGTGTGTGTGTGTGTGTGTGTGTGTGTGTGTGTTAAAATCAATCTCATGTGTCTTTTGTACATGTGGGAGGATGTGAATACCAGACCTACATTTCTCTCTTTTTGATAAACAACTGACAAGGAGTCCCCAGCCTGTCCCCAAATATCTTGTTCATGCAAGTAGCTCTTGTGTGAGTAGTACACATTGGACAATCGTTGCATGCATAAGGACTAATTGTATGACTAAGTGTGTGCAGGAGCGGGTCTAAGCTTTGAACAATCTCAATAGTGATGTCACACAAGGCTGAAACCTCAATTTAGAGCAAGAAGTGAGGCGCTGATAGTCCTGATATTTAATTTTTAAAGGTTCTTTATTAGAAAGAAAAAAGACTATTGTTTTACTCTTTGTATATCGTAGTGTCTTTTTTTTTTTTTTTGCTTATCTTTGACACAGAATTTGAAGTTGGTATCATGTGAAAGTAATCTTTCCAGATAACTATTTATTAGATAAACAGAGATTTAAAGTTTGTAATGTGGTATATTGATATACAAAATATATGTGCAATATATTCTCTGACTACTTTACTTTAATAACTGAAATGTTTAGTGTGGTTGTGTTTTTTTATTTTTTTTTTATTTAAGATAAATGTGGCTAAAAGTTATGTTGTGCAATTATCAAAGTACCAGAAAGGAAGTACTGGAGTAATTTATTTGAGGCAAAAGGAATAAGAACATCTAGGAGGGTGTCTAGTAATGGCTGTGGGGGGAGGGAGGGGAGGTAAACATGAGCTTCTGTGATAGAAACAATCTTTGTGGAGGTTTAACATTAGGATCAAGGGGTTCTGACCCCTTAACCATTCAGAAACAATAATTGATCATTCTTTTTATTGATCCACTATGGAGGAAAAGTTGTGAGAGGATCCTGAAAAGCTCAGAAATAATAAAATTTCATCATAAAAGAGTTAGATGTCACAGGTATTGTTTTTGTGTTCCAGATGTTGCACCTCAAATAAACTGTTCTCCCATTTCACTGCAAACAACTAGAACTCGGCTTTTGCTGTGGTAACAGTTAACATATTTGAACACAGTATCATCTAAATTATAGCCAGTTTTTTGTTTTGTTTTAAACTTTAACTCTCCACGGTATTTTGAAATAGTCTATTCTTTAACCTATTAATGAAAAGAGTAGTGAAATCTGTCACTAAGGGTACATTTACACAGGAAAAAAAAATGGGACAATGACTCTCAGAGCCTGTGTCAACTGACTCAGGCTCACGCTAAGGGACTAAAAACAGTCTTGTAGGTGTTTGGGTTGGGCTGGAGCTTGGGCTCCAAGACTCACCCTTCTCACCAGGTGTCAGACCCCAAATGTCTGCAATTTTATAGCGCCACAGCCCAAGCTCTGCGAACTTGAGTCAGCTGACACTAGCCAGCCATGAGTGTTTCATTGCAGTATATACATACCCTAAGAGTTCATTGGTCTGTTTTTTTATGTTACTGCAGTGCTGTTTGTGGGCTCCTGCTCTTTCTTAGCCTTCCATGCAGCCTCAGGTTTTTATTTGACATAACTCAAGGTTCTTAACACAAATGATGCAACAGATTTTTCCATCACAAAATGTTGAGAGCATAAAAAAAGAAAAATTCCCAGAATCCATGATTTCCAAAATGTACATGACAAAATTTCATAATAATCATAAAGCAAGCATTGTGTGAACCTAAAGGAGAGGCTAATGAAGCAGCAGAGGCAAGGGAAGGCCAATTTGCATTTTTTTTTTTTCAAAAAGAAGAACAGATCTTAAAATAAGGATTATTTTCAGTAAACCATGTTTTTTCCACATGCAGATTTGGCATAATATCTTCTGACTTTTACCATCCAGCCTCTGGAAGTCAGTTTCCATTTTTCTTAACATTGTTTCAGAATGTTTAGAATTTTCTTTCCATGGCCATACTGAATTTCAGTTTAAGGATGAATTGACTCTTTTGTGTTTGTAGATCTAAAATTAACAGCAAACATATGAACTTTTCATAGTCACAGAAAAAGACCTGAGTTCAAGATTCTGTGTTCCCTGTGTTAAAGCTGATGTTATAAATTTACATGGGTTGTTGACTTTTAACAAAAACAAAACAAAAAAATGCGTGAAATCTTGAAGTACTCATGGTGGTGCCAGTTCTGCACTGTGTTTGGCTGGACAGACACTCACACCCAGTTAGGCAAAAATACTGTTGAAATGGATGGGAAATTTTCTTCAATACAGACTGGAGACTTCAGAATTTGACGAACATTATTATTATATTCAATGGCAACTTAATTAATTCAGAGTTAAGGTTGCTTGGTTGTATGTCATTCCCTCGTGGAACGTAGAGCAAAACTCAAACTTTTGAAAACCACCAAATGCACAGTTAGGGTTCGCTATGAACTTAACTCCCCTCTTTCAGCAGTTCTCTAATACAGCTTTTAACATACTCTGCCAACCCCTATGGTTTGCTGAAATGTGCAACCCATTCACTCAGGATACCACCTAACACTAATAAAGAACAACAACAAAAAAAGGGTTGTGCACACCACCTTCCCTCTAAATAACATCATTATTAGCACTGAAGCAATTATGTTTTGAAATGACAAAAGTGTTTAATAAAAATATTTCTGCCTCTGATGCTGAAAACACTTATGCACGTGCAAACATTTGTGCACATACTGTAAGTACATGAGTAATCCCACTGAGGTCAATAGGACAATGCTTGTGAATATATTTATGTGCTTGCTTAAGTGATCAGAGCCATAATTTCTTTCTTTATGTCTGCCTGCCTGCCTACGACCTACCTACCTTCCTTCCTATAGCTGTTCTGTGAAATTTAAATAATATAAAATCCTAAAAGTAGTAGGGATGTAAAAGGTTAAACAGTTAACCAGTTAGCCGGTAAGCATTAGGCTTGCATCTGAAGAAGTGGTTTTTTACCCTCAAAAGCTTATGACCAAATAAATCTGTTAGTCTTTAAGGTGCCTTGTTGTTTTTGTGGATACAGACTAACACGGCTACCCCCTGATATTATTGTTAACCGGACCGTAACTGTTTACCCAGGCAGCTGCCCGGCCATACCGGGCTGGCCGGCTGCAGCAGCCCTAGCCGTGTCAGGCCGGCACGCCAAAGGGACTCCAGCCTTGGCCGGGCCAGCAGGACCCCAGTCCT